TAATGGAGTTGGCAAACTATTAGGGACTTCTAGGGCTAATTTGCCACAAAAAGCACTGTTAGCCATGTTGCTTTACACTCCGCCTCAATGTTATCTGCTATGCCTGACCCTAGGATCCCCCGTTCTCTTAACACTTTCTTTCCCCGCCCTGTCGCTCTCTGTCCCAATAAATGCTTCAATCGTCTGGCCAGCTTCTCCCTCGTCTCACGCAGCCATCATATTTGAAAGCCTCTGAAAGTCTGGGGTACCCCAACCTGTAACTGGATCCCATCCTGGGGCCGCGTCCCACCCGGCATCCGCAATCTTCGGCGACGGCTGACCAGTGTACATGTCCTGACCTGAGCATCCACGAGAACGTCCCAGCGTGATGTCGTTGAAGGCTTGGTAGCCCTGCGAATATAGCCAAGGGTTCAAGAAGCCGAGCTTTCCCTTCCCCTGCGCCAGACGTTTGTTGTTCAAATTGGATATAATAGCTGCAAAAGTTGGCGCCGCGCAGGATGTTCCGTACAAAAATTCTGCACTATCTTGGTTCTCGATTAGATAGCGCACGGATTGCGCCGAGACATCGGGGTAGCCTCGCCCAGAGGCGTTGAAATACCCTTTGTTCTTATTACCTAACCTGGAAAGGTAGGCCTTTGTGATGTTGACCTGGTAAGATGGTGCTGCGAAGTAGTTGGAAAACCCTCCTGAGGAGAAAACAGCTGCGACTTCTGGATTCACAGCATAAGTCCCTCCAACGGCTGTTACATAGGGGCATGTCGCTGGAAAATTCGGTGTGAAGCGTGGTGTTTTCTTTCCGTCGTTCGATTGACACGCGCTACCAACACCAGTATCACCTGAAGCGAAGATCACAGAGACTCCACGTAGACCGAGGAAGGAAAATGCAAGGCATACTTCCCTCGCCCAGTCGAAAGGTACCGTCTGCTCGTCCTCAGCGTACGAGGTGGTGAGAACATCGGGAAGGTCTGAGCTGTTGAGACCCAACAAGAAGTGGAGTTGATCAAGATATGGCTCGTTGCTGCCGTTCAGAGAAGGCGTCGGCTGGTCGAGATCTGCGAGCATTGGGGCGCGTCCGGCGGTTGAGTAGTAGACTACCGGTGTCCCTCGAGCCAGGGCCACGGAGTATTGCACCTGGAGGCAGTCAGTATGATCATGATTGAGGCTACGGCGCGGAAAGTAGGCCTACGTCGAGATTACCCTCAGCAGTCTTGTTCACTCCCTTCTGGTCGCTGACTCCATTGTTGATCGGGACGATGGAGAAGTCATGAGCCTGATTACTGGCACCCGTGAGCTTGAGAAAATCTTCAAGGTCGTCAAAATACACTCCTTCTTCGATGAAGCCAGAGACACCAAGTTTCGTCTTTGCCTTGGGATCGGCCTGAAAATCAGTCATCCTATAGATGCCTCTAATGCATTCCGGGGTGATGGTGCTATTGCAAAAGGTGGCATTATAGGTCGTCAGGAGGTCAGGGTTGCCAAATGGCGAAACTAATCCAGGATCAGGATTGTCTCTGGTTTCCAGCATAAAGCTAGCTTGTGCTCTTGGTAGACCAAACCGAGTGGTGGGTTGGATTGTTGTGATCAGTGGCCACAGACGTGTCGGGACTGAGTATTGCAAGGTACGAATCAAAGTTGTTTCACCATTGTGGTACTCATGAAACTTTGTGCCCAGAAGACTCTCAGCTTGGGAGACTGAAGCGTTGAATGTGATCCAGGATCCTTGATATGTGATGTTTGTTTCCAGAATACCTTCACACGCGAGCCAGTCTGTGACTGCGGTAACTGTGTCGCTCGCCGGTCGCAGCAGGTCGTCCAGTTCATGTTTCTCCAGATGCCGACCGTAGGATGGATGATCAGGCGTAGAGATGTCAAGTAGGTGCTGGTGGACATCGTTGATGGCAGGCTGGTGCAGAGCGAGGCGCAGTTTGAGGATTTCCTGCGGACTCGGTCGTTTGCCCTTCTTTGTGTCAGTCAACAACGCCTTGTTCCGGGCTAGAAACACCTTACCTGAGTCCATCCTGTTGGAACATCAGACAGTTTGCCCACGACTGTAGTTGAAGTGTCAGGTAGTACAGCGCTGGAGACAGCCCAAGCGCAGAAAATCAAGGCCAGGATGAGAACAGTCATGGTTTAACACTGAGGACGAGGAGAGGAAACCTTGAGGTTAGCTTTCAGGATACGGGACGAATTGTTTGTTGGTATCGAGGTAAGCAAGGACATTGCAACCCTGAGATTAGCGCAGCTTGTATCCACGTTGGCCATCGAGCAGGAAGTGTAAGAATCCCTACGATGGACGGAGGAAGCGGCAGTGGAAGTAACGACCGGTCCTAGAGCTGAGGGGTGTTGAAAAGGCAGGAAGGGAAAGTGAAGGGACAAGTGAAGACTGTGAACAGATGTGAAATCCGGACAGTTGAGAGAACGAGAACACTGACCACGTTATCAATAACCGTCAGCTACGACCCAGCTTGGAATATGCATTTCTCTTCCCAAATCCAGGTTGGTATATTGAAACGGTACAGAAGTCGTGCCGAAGGGCATGTAAGCAAGTGAACTGTGTTGTTTTCGTGCATCAATACTCCGTTGATATCATCTCCAAGCTGAACGAAATGGCAAAAGCCCCATGGTTCAGAATCGTCTATCGTCTCATATCTGCTCCCAATTGTAGCTCCTGTTCAAGGTCATTCGTCGCAAAAGCGCCCGGCTCTTGCGGCCTTGGATCCTCATGGCTGCTCCATTGACTCGGGTTCTCGGGAATAGGCACGTTCATGTTGCCAGTAGGGTTCTGAGATGGCTGGTGACGAACGTGGTGACGGAATCTCATGACTTCGTCGAGTATCATCTTGCGCATCTCCTGGACATCTTCCACAACCTCAAACGCAAAGTCGAAGGTCTTGGGGCAAGCAGGCTCATCACTGGCGTCGTGCCAAATGTGAAGGTATCTGTGCTCCAAAGCATCCTCCACCGAGATACGAGACGAGGGATCGAATGCCAGCATTCGGTCCAGAAGATCGAGGGCATCAGGGTTCGCCTGCGGGAACAGCCTTTGGAATGTGATCTTGGGCATGTATGGCAGGTTTCGGACATACTCCTGAGCACGAGGTGATCCGATTCGCGAGAGAGTCTCCTCGTTAGGGGTGCCTAGGTAATGCAGAATCTGGTTCAGCTGATCGACGTAGTCCCGACCCTTGAAGAAGGGTCTGCCACCGAGCAATTCTGCCAAAATACATCCCACCGACCACACGTCGACTGTTCGCGTGTTAGTTGCAATTCAGGTGTCCATCGAATGCCAACATACTAGCTTTGGTATAGCTCTGAAAGCTGAGCATAATCTCTGGAGCACGATACCATCGAGTTGCGACGTATTCGGTCATGTATCCAGCATTCTCCTCAGGGTCTTGAGAGAAACCTCTGGCAAGACCGAAATCGCAAATCTTGAGCTCGCAATCGGCATTGACGAGGAGGTTTCCGGGTTTCAAATCTCTGTGCAATACATTCGCCGAATGGATGTACTTGAGGCCGCACAGAATTTGGTAGATGAAAGATTGAAAGTGAGCATCGGTAAGTGGCTGGCCAGATCTAATGATGGCCGCGAGATCACACTCCATCAATTCTGGTGCATGTCAACGACTGTGTCCGCTCAGAAAGAGGGTCAACATACCTTCATAGAGATACGTCTCATTGAAGTTGTCCGGTCGGGGAATATCCATATCGTAGAGACAAGTGATCTGTGCCTAGTCAGCCAGCAGGTCTTTCCTCGATTGATCACGACAACAGACATTGCGATGGCCTCGGAAGTGCTGCAGCAGTTTGATTTCGCGCAGTGCTCGCTTCGCGAGGATCTTCTTGCTGAAGACATTGGTGACTTTCTTGATGGCCACTCCTTCTCCCGTTTGCGAGTTGGTGGCAGCACTTTTAACAAAGTCAGTGACATTCCAGCGCGCGATCGCAGGGAGGCCTACCAGACAATACCATATGCACCCTGACCCAACTCTTTTGTCACGGTATACCTCTCATCGACAATGAAGTCTTGATTGAAGACTTTGAACACTTTGCGCCCAGCAAGGTCCCCCATGTTGCTATTGCTCCTACAACTGCGGAATGGCTTTGGATTGGTATTTGAGCAGCGTGAGAAGAGGGTGGATCGTAACAGGAGGGGTCAAGGCAGCAGTTCAGGTGCTTTAAAGGAGATCCAGCCAAGAAGGTCGGGAAGCAAGGCAGGGTTTCGGTCGAGGGATATGGTGCGGCTGAACGATAGAGTTGAGCAGTGCTGACACTCTGGGAGCAACTGTGAACCTGGAATGCGGCGAGCGAGTCCGGTCGGGGTCTATGGTGGGGGCCACTTCAGGTGTAGCGCGAAGATGTTTGCGTAAGACCTAGCCAGTAAGGGGATTTGTATACCGGAATATGATCAAAGTGAGAGATTTGAATGAAATTGGGCGATTCAGGTCTACGCCAAATAGCCGCTGAGGTGGATTTGTGATGAGAATGCTTTGGCTTCTCTCATTTTCGAAGCAGCCGCGCGCTGTTGTTTCGAAGGTGGGACGGGGAAATCGAGGGGCAGCTATCAGCCCTGAAGCCTAATTGAGCCCATGGCGGGCGCTGGGCAGTGGGTGCTGCCCCGGGGCCCGCCCTTGCCCGCCCTAACATGGCCAGCATGGCCTAATTATCTACTTGGTGTGCACCAACTTCCTACCCAACCAGGTTCGTTAACCGAGTCCGCCAGCCTGTCTAAGAAAAGATATCAGTGCCAAGCCAAGCGCGCCACGCTGGCGAACACGTGCCAGACACCAGGAGCCTCCACAGCCTCATCTGTGCCACTTCTGGTGGAAAAATGTGGCGTTACAAATTTCAAGTATCTGCGACCAATGCCGACATCAAGTCATCGCCATCCTTGAAATAAGTGCATCCGAGACCTAGAAGACTGACGCGTGCCACGGGAAAGAATTCACCGTAATGCCCAAAACTTAGGTGAAGTCAATTCCTACTCTCAACGGGTCGCCATGGAAGAATTACTTGCGAAACACCGCAAGGAAAAGCGAGATCTCCAATCACAAATCACGCAGAAAAAGAAGAATGCGACCAAGAAAACCAGAAAGGGCGTCAATGATGAATGTGAGAGACTCGAGCGGGTACTGGCTGAAAAGCAGCAGGCCGAGATTCAAGAGTTACAACCCCAAGGTACCAATGAGCTACAGGAGGCCCTAGAGGATCTCAACGTCAATGAACCTGTGGGAGAAGAAGTCAACGGCGTACCAGAAGCCACATCAGAGCCACCTAAACAAGCCAACATCGCGGATTCATCGCCCGCGGACCAGTCCCGACCTCGAAAGCCAAATCGGCAAAAGGCGAGGCTGGCACGTCGAGCAGCCGAACAGGAGGCACAAGCAGCGGCCGCAGCTCTCGAGGCAGAGAGCCTCCCCGACCTCCGGGAGCGGGAACTCGCCGACATGAAGCAACAGATGACCAAATTAGGCCTTTCAGAAACCCTCATCCGACCCGACGGTCATTGTCTCTTTTCCGCCTGCGCACACAGCATGCCTGCCGACGTACTCGCAGCAAAACCAGACAGGAATGTCAAGCAGCCATATGAGAAAGTTAGATACGCTGCTGCGGAGTTTATGGCCAGCCACCCCGAGGATTTTGAGGCCTTCATGGAGGAGCCCTTGAATGTACATGTGAAAAAGATCAGAGATACGGCGGAATGGGGTGGGGAGTTGGAGTTGCAGGCTATTGCGCGATCTTTCAATGTCGAAATCAACGTGCTCCAAGCGAGCGGCCGAGTGGAAAAAATTTCCTCCCAAGGCAGCTCAAACGACACCATTTGGCTGGCATATTATCGACACAGTTTTGGGCTTGGTGAGCATTACAATGCGTTGAAGAAAGTGGACCACAGCTGAGCAGGTACCTATTGTTCCATGTGGAATCATGAATGGCCGATGAAACAAAACGGAGGCTTTTGGACAGCACCTGATGCCTATCAAGCTCTTGTCTCCCAGCTAACCAATCACGTGGGGGAAAATACCACCAGGATCTCAGCGGTGACGCCAAACCGAGATATAATCCTCTACATTTCCGTTCTTGTCCTTGCCCACATTATGCGTGTCGGCAGGATGCCAATGCCCAACCCTTTCCATAGCACCGGGGCTGGATGGTGCTAGTGGGTTCATTTTGACATTGCCTTCCTCGTCATAGGGGATTTCTTCTCCTGGATGACTCAAATGCTCGAGGTATGTCTTTGAAGCGACGCCGTAAGGGGGCCCGCCAGATTTGACAGGCTTGGTAACTGGGAACTCGAGGCACACAAGATTTGCTTGAGGGGAGTGGCGGAGGAGTTCGGTCATGCGCTTCGCCCAAGCAGAACGCATGCCTGGGCGCATTGCACAGAAGAACTGGAAGGGCAGGTGTGAGTAAGGGTTCCTACGTCAGCTAAAGATGTATGCGTGTGACACAAGGATCAACCACCCAGAGGATGAGATCCCATACCTGAAGGGAAGGACAAAGGCAGCAACAAGGAGATCAGAAGTCAGGGAACATTACTCACAGTATAGTCATAAATGAGATCGAACTTGCCGTCCCACTCACTACCAGCACCCAGCTCTGTCCTCGCCTTTTCCACCCATTGGTCATTGTAAAAGTCCCCTTGCAGAAAGACCATTTTTCCCTTCCCGATGTTCTCATCATAGACGGGATACTTGGCGGCGTTCTCAGCCGCATACTTTTCACAGGCTTCAAGCGCCTTTTCAGCATATTCTAGCCCGACCACATCATATCCGAAACTGGCCAGTAGTAGAACATCCACGCCACGGCCACAGCCGGGGACTAATGCGCGTTTCCGCTGCTTCTGTCCATCTGGTGACGACGGGGCGAGAAGGGCATTGCCGATAACATCGGCGTGGTTGATCAGCGTGTCGGCGAGGGCTGGGGATGGAGATCCACGGTCCCAGGGCAAGAAGTCTCCCTTGTTCCACAACTCGGCCCAGCCTTCCGCGTAAGCGCCTCCTTCGTACTTGGACATGTGTCCCTTGAGCCTTTCACGGTTCTCGGCCGTGGCGTTTGTCGAAGACATGATTGCAGTTGGTTCGACTAGCACAGGCTCAGCAGCCGAACACAATGGTCTGAGGCAAGCTTCGAAACGACAAGCGGGAAGAAGCGGAATAGATGGCCGGTGTCTGAGGGGTGGTGGATAGTGGGGGATGAAAGTGTGTGGTCGAATTTGCCCGAAGCGGAAGAAATTGAACTGGTGGACGTTTCGGTTCTGTTGTCTAGGAAGAGTAGGGTGGACGGCTGCCGTGGTCCCAGAGTGTTTCGAGAGAATGCACAGCCCAGCGCTCAGACTCGGTGATGTTGTGCTCTTGTGTCTTATCGCATTGTTAGCCAGCGATACAAATTCTCGAGTGTAGTAGTGAGGAGTCAGATGGAAGGACATGGAGATTGGCTCAAACTCAGTGGTTCGACCACTAACAAGGTTGCTCAGATCATCATTGGTCCCAGCCCTTAGGATGACTGCAGCGACAAAGTCGGAAGTAGTACCGAGTAATACACTAAATGTAGGGAATTGAAAAGCGGGCTTCTGTGTGTCTGCGTTGGCTGTGTTTCTGCCTCGAACCTGCCCCGACTCCAATGATGTCGTCGGGGTGATCAACGTGACCGAAATCAAAAGACAAGGCTGGGTGTTCTTTGGCACGTTCCTGGCTTTAGAATACAAATGGGGTAGACACCAGGTACAAGTGAGTACAGAGATGTGCCTCGGTTATATGGACAATTGAGTCGGATAATGCCATCGCACAAGATACAAAGCAAAAAGTTTGGAGTTCGTGGGTTAGTGGGCCAGACCTCGTAATCAACACTGAATGGTGAAGGCCAAGTCCCACTGTCTTCCCGCATTGCGAGCTTCATTCCATCCATTTCACCTTGCCTTCAATTGAGCAATTGACTGGCACGACATGGCCATCTTCACAATCTCTCTGCAAATGTACTGTTCTGGTGGTCGGAATTGCCTCCTCATCCGCCAAGGAGCTCCTTGGGGAGTACCTCGAGTTTCGCCCAAGTAAATCAACAACCTCATCTCTGCCAATTGTCTTCTGGTCCCTCTCCCTCTCCGGCAATAACGGCACAATAGCCATCATCAGTCCTAGATCTCTCCATCTGATGGGACTTATCGCCAGCTCAACTTCCTCCCCCACAACTAGCAATGCTTAATCCCCCTCATTCTCTTGTCGTCATTGGTTCTGTCAACCGCGGTGAATCCGTCCTTCGATGTTGGCCTCCCGGTAAACTACGACGGCCCTCGAGCAACAGAGCAACCCCATGCACGCCATTTGCCGCTGTGGACGTCCTTTTTCACCTAATGCCCGGTTAAGCCATGCCCATGCCTGCCTTTAGGGATCTGCGAGCCCGAGCGACATGCGGCTGACCGTATCTTTTAATATGCGCATTCTCCAACATCCGTTTCTCGCCCTCCATTTCTTAACGTTCTTTCTTTGGCTCCATTCTTTGGGTATAAATGTTTGAATGATGACTCTGCCAGCAAATACTCGAGCTCACCTGTTCAAGTCTGATCTATATCCGTCGCTCTTCGGACTTCGCACATGGCTCATGATGGCCTCGAGAAACTCACCCCCTCGCCAGATACCGTGTGCGGTCCGGCCTCGGAGGAGAGACTGACGAAAGGGAAAGAGCATGATGACACTTTCGAAAGCCGGTCCATTCATTCTGATCATTCGGGTCATTCGACAGTCGTTATCCAGCATGATGTCGAAATCGGTCAAGCTGCACTGACCAGGACGATAACTCCCAAACGGCCCGTTGTCAAGGTACCGCGGTCGGAAAGACGTGGTCTTTTTGCTCGTTTCTGTGTCATGGCCGAGGTCACAGAACCCACAGATTATAGCAATAGCATAAAATGGTTCATCACCTTCGTCGTGGCCATTACTGCCGCTGCCGCCCCCGTGGCTAGTGCCATCATTTTACGTATGTTGCGTCGACCGTTAATCTTGTCGGAGTTTGCCCCTAGACTGACTCAATTGATTGCCGTTTAGCGACCCTGGATGAGGTGGCTAGATCCCTGCACACCGACGCGACCACCACCAACCTATCAGTTTCATTATATATGTTGAGCATGGCCATTTTCCCCCTCTGGTGGTCGGCTTTTTCAGAGACGGCAGGGCGCCGGACCGTCTACATCACCTCATTTGCCTTATTCATCTTGTTCTCCGTCTTGAGCGCCGTCTCCCATTCAATATCCATGTTGATAGTTATGCGACTGCTTGCTGGAGGAGCTTCGGCGTCTGTGCAAGCCGTGGGCGCTGGAACGCTCGCTGATATCTGGAAGTCACACGAGAGGGGCAGAGCGATGGGGATCTACTTCTTGGGACCTCTGTGTGGGCCATTACTGGCACCTATCGTGGGTGGTATTCTCGGCCAAGTTTGGGACTGGAGAGCAACTCAGTGGGCTCTTGCCATATACGGAGGTAAGCCCCCAACATTTCTGGCATTAAGCCAGAATTGTCTCGTCGCCTAAAAGAAACCGGCTCCTGACGCAAAATTTCAGTCCTGACTTGGGCATTGATCTTCTTCGGTCTACCTGAAACCCTCAAGATACGCAAGGATGTGACGGAGGAAGTCCTGGCGGATGTGGCATCGTCGATCAACAACAGCAGCCATCGACCTTCACTGAGTCGAACGTCGACCCGAGAAGTGATACAGGATAAGTCAAAAAAGTATTTGAAGGTTGCACGGACGTTTTTGTTGGACCCACTGAGCGTCATCCTGTACCTCCGGTTCATGCCTGTCTTGCTGACGGTGTATTACTCGGCGGTTACTTTCGGTGCGCTCTACATGCTCAACATCAGTATCCAGTATTCTTTTGAGAGGGAGCCCTACGACTTCTCGACCATCATCATCGGCTTGCTCTATCTGCCCAACTCCATCGGGTATATTCTCGCCAGTGTACTTGGCGGTCGCTGGATGGACTATATCATGAGGCGCGAGGCGATCAAGGCAAATCGAGTGGATCAGCACGGAAAATTAATTTTTCGACCAGAAGACCGCATGCGCGAAAACGCGTGGCTAGGTGCATTAATCTACCCTTGCGCCTTGATATGGTACGGATGGACCGTTGAGAAAGGTGTCCTGTGGGTAGCGCCGGTAAGTCAACGTGAATCACCAACACATGGGGGAACTTTGTTACATGCAAGGTACCAACGTTGACACGTGTGGTATAGGCCATTGCGAATTTCTTCTACGGCGTGGGGTCTATGCTCATCTTCGCCATGTCCACCACTATGTTGACCGAGTTCATGCCACAACGATCCTCCTCTGGTGTTGCCTTAAATAACTTGTGCCGCAACCTTGTATCATGTGTTGGCACTGTTGTAGTGGCTCCCCTCATCGCGGCAATCGGGAATGGTTGGCTGTTTACCATTCTGGGACTTTGGGCATTATCAAGCGCCTCGGTCATTTGGGCGATGAAACGATATGGCGAAAATTGGAGAGAAAAGATGGATCGACAGCTCAGATAAAACATTCAAGACCATGCAAGCCATGAGATTCATTGGGGGCCAAAACGCCCCAGGAACTTTGTCCCAGTTAGCACGTGACTTTAAAACCCCTCGTGATTCAGGGTCACGTGCCTACCCCTCTCATCCTGCGCCCTCTTTGAACCTCAAATAAAATGCGGAGTTTGGAAGTGAGGCACCAACTCAATCCAAGCAGCCAAACAACAACACTACCAGGAGGAAGACGGCGAAGTCCTCGACAATGCTCTGCGGCACAGCAACCTTTCTGCGGCCCGTTTGTCCATCGGCGCGAGCCGTACCAAAGTTCCCTCACGGGAGCAAAAATCTTCTCCTGCTTTCCAATTCTCTTGATTCTTCATCGCTTTACCACGAATATCCGA